TCCTGTCTCCTGGGTGCAACCTTCCTTTTAGACTGCAAGTGAACTTCATCTTTGGGAAAAAGCAAAGATGAGTCACATTAACACCCAAAGCCTCATTCATTAAGAGGTACAGTTAAGCAGAGAAAGCGAGATAAGGTTCTCTGGGCAAAAAGAAAAAGGGTTTTAAATGGATGGTTGTCCTGCTAGCAAGAACTTCAGTTATTTAGAGTTTCCAACAACCTGAAAATTAAACTCAAAACACAATGAGCCAGTTGGTGAAGAATACTATTACAAATGCCTCTATGCTGAGGGATATGGTCCTCTCCTTTCCACCTTTTGATGAGGTTTATGCTGAGGGATATGGTCCTCTCCTTTCCACCTTTTGATGAGGTTATCCACTCATCTACATGTTGGGAATTCAGAAGATGGAAATAATCAAAACTTACACAAAATCACTATGAGAATAGTGACAACGACCATAATGAGAAGTGTGGGAAACATATTGTTTGGAGACTCTGAATCAAGTATATGACTGGCAAGATTGCAAGAACTGCAAATTAAGCTTATGTATCATTGCAATGTTAGGCCTATTGAAAACACTTAACGTAAAACTAGTGATAAGCAGAAGTGCATTTCACATTTCATATTAGTAGGAAATGGGAGTCTTTTTCACCAGTGCTGTTTACAAATGGGTCATGTTTGCTGGAGATGAGAAAAGGACTGGTGAGACCATGGAGAAACATTGCTACAGAGGCCTGGGTGTAGCTGTGGTTTCATTTTTCCCTGAGAGAAAAGGGCAGCTCATAGCCACTTAATTTTATACTGCTTGCTCTTTATAGGCATTTCTCCATGTGGTAGCTCAACAACAGTGTTGTTATCCCTGCTGATGTAACCATTTATTCCACCTCTTAGCTTTTCCTCTTAGGTGCCTGCAGCAATTCTGAACAGGATCTCGCATTAGTAGTACCTAAACTCAGTACATTTAAACTGCACTTTCTCTTGTTGATTGTCTAAATTCAGTAACTTATGCAGAGCTTGCTTACATTTTGTTTCAAAAAGGACATATCATAAACTGATTGCTTTACCTACTGACTGGAGGTTGACTTGAAAACAGCAGGTGAGGTGAGTCCTGCAACAAGCTGAGGAATTTCTGTCAACAAATTCAATTTATACCAATGTTACTTCTAATCATTGGCTGGAAAGCCTTGTCTGGGTCATGTTCACTGGGCAGCTCAAACAGTGCCCTTCAAAGCCTCTAGCATTCTCTTCCTTATCATCACCATTATATTTATATAGCTATTTTTAATAATGAAACATCCCTGAGTGGCATACAGTGCAATATCTGCATCGAGCAGTGATTGTCATTTACAAAGCGTGAAACATAGAAAAGAAAGAAGAGGACTGAGTCTCCAACATGCTGTTTCTAATGGATATCAGAAATAGCAGTTAAGTCTCCAGAGCAGAGGCAGAAAGTGCTGGGATAAGATGGTAGGTGTAGGTATCTATTACTGCCAGGAGAGGAAAGCTGTTCCCAGGTTTCCATTTCACATGTGCTTAAAAAAACTTGTGCTGTGTTTTAATTTGATAACTTAATTTTTGCCCAAGTTCTGTATTCCTGGGATATCTAATAGACAATGGCTCTGAAAGAGGGAACCAACTTCCAGGCTAGACCTCGGTTCTTCTGGATAGGGCACAGTCAATAAGAAGTCAGAAGTAAGGAAGATGTGGGCAGCTTGGATGTGACTGATCCATGCTTTGTAGCACAGCTTTACAGGAGGTGAGAAAGACAGTGTGGAAAGAAGCCATCAGCTGGGTAACTCTAGTTAAGCTGCCCGAGTGCCTTGCAGGCTGCTGCGGCCTTGGTGGGCTGCCACAGTCCTGCGGTGCGAGGCTGAGGGGCTGATTCTTAACAGTAGTTTTGCACCCTCTTTGTGTAGTAGTTGCTAGGTCAGAAATCGCAGCAGCTAACACAAAGGGAAATGAACATAAGTGCAAGCAGTGACCATGAAAGAAACAAAGAAAGTCACACAATCAAGATGATCTTCATGATAGCCCAGTAGCTGCTCTACCAGATCTCCTTAACATTGCACATGTGTTGAGACATCGATGGTGCACAGCATCAGAGAATAAACAGCACATCACAGCAGAGAATAAACTGGTCCTTGGGAAATGAAGCTGAAGTGAACAACAGGAAGCATGGACTAAAAGAATTAAAAAGTGAGAGTGATGACATCTCACTTCAGAAGGGACCTGGCAACATCAAGGGCCTCTGACTTCACGAGGGGTTGAGCGCCTTCTGTGAAGTAGTGAGATGTCTCCATTTCTAGTGGCCTCCTAGAGCTGTGGGAGCCTGACAACATGCAGAATCTATTCCGAAATGCTGCCAGTCACAAATCAGTCTTAAAATATATGTTGCTTTTGAAAACCAGTTGGTTCAACTGAATGCTTTCTATTATCCAGTTTGTTTTTTTTTCTTTCCCCTAGCAATCAATAAAGAAATCTTTCCATTAGAAGAAAATATGACTCTTGGAATTAATTCTTTATACAAAGATCCGGCAAGAGTGACATTTACACCAAAATTAAGTCCCTGTGGCAATATAACAAATACTCTACATTTGCCTGCTTGATGCTGTGGATAATTTAGATCAGTGTGGTCCAATTATCTGAGAGCAATGCTGCAAGATTTAATATATGTTTTAAATATTTTTTTTGTTGAATTTCTGGGGTTAATAAGTCATTAAAAATTGTGTCCCATTTGAAAGAATTATCACTAAAAAAATCAGCAAATATTGCCAGTTACTAAAGAGCAGTTCTAGTTCTAGAGGTTTAATTGAAAGGCTTCAGAAACTACTGCGGATTAATGAAAGCCAAGAAATAAAACACAGTAGTAATGTTGTCTGAAATGCATGTTGTGATTGGCTATGCAGTTTCTTAATTGAACTTGTACTATTTCATTGTTTAAAACCTAAGGATTACTTGAATGTATAAAATCCGATATTGAAAATTTAAAATGTCGTACACAAAACTGTATTAAGAATGACAACAAAAATCCAGCCTGTAGCATGCCATTGCTATTTCTTGTTATATGCACAATGAACAAAGCGCTGAAGTTCTAATTTACCTACATGGCCAGATTGAAATAAAAGAAAATTAAATAAGTTTTATCAGCACTATTTAACACCAGTAAATACTGTATGAGAATTAATTTTTGCTACCAAAATAAATGAGTTTCTTGCTCAAATTCTGTAAAAATAGGAAAAGAAATTGAACAAACTATTGATAATATTATTTGAATATAATAATTTGGCAATATTTGTAATTGTTTGTACAGTCTGTACAGAAAAATTTTGTGTAACATTGTTATTGGTTTTAGAACAAATGAAAAGGATCCATTTTTAATTTCATCCTGGATGCTGCTGGTTCTATGGTCTCTGGTAGGTCATTTAACTTCTTTTCTTTATCTTTAAAAAAAGGGAACAGTCCTTGCTGATTGAAGAGATCATGAGATTGCAGTGATTTCAGAAGTCTTTAAGTGCTTTAAGGATGAAACTCCCTATGAATAATGGTTAAATAATACGTCTTTTTCACAGGTGATCTTCATTTCATTACATCTTGACTAAGATGTAAATCATAATACCTGCTACAGATTCATTGGCTTATTTGAAAACAACAAAACATTTTCAATATGTAATACATAAATGAAGCATAACAAGCTTCTTCATTTATCAACCTTTAGGACAGTAATACTTATCACACTCTATATTCTGTGTATTGGCTAAATATGTTACTTTTAATGTACTGAAAATAACAGATTATTATTATAATGGATTTCAAATGAGCATATATAGATGTGTGTAACATATATATGTAAATATATTTTCATATTGAAAAAGACAAGGAAAACATGAATCCCCTGCATTTGAAATTGAGCTCTTACAGGATTCAGTTTGATTATTTTTTTTCAAATATACACAAATTGACCTTGCATAAATACTGGTTAATTAATTTTTTTTTTTTTTTAAATATTAGAAGTAGGTGGAGTATGGAGTCCTGTTCATGGATTTGTCATGTAAAACAGGCTGCAAACAGATAAAATCAGATTACAAGAGGATGCCAATCTTAGGGCTTAAGTGGTTTAAAGAAGCATCTAAAGAAGTGCTGTACTACATTAGCTGAAAACATTTTAATATAATCATTGGAATATGTGATAGAAATTTGGTGAAAAAAGAGTATTTTAGAGATTGATTTATTTTAGGACTAAGAAATTTGGAAGATTGCATCATTTTTACAACAAATCTCTGAGAAAAATTAACTTGGCTGTGCCGTTTTTGTATCTATTTTGCACTCAGAATTGATTAACAGAGAAACATTTATTAGCTAAGGATTTGTAACTGCTCTTGCAGCAAGTTTAGAATTTGAGAAGAGATAGGTAGTTTAGAATAAGAGAAGAGATAGCTATGGAATCATGAGGTGTGTGTGTAAATTTACAAGGTGATTGGTAGTGGGTGAGGGGAAACTTTAACCAGTGCTCAGAATAAGGTGTGAATTAACTGTTGATGCAGAAAAAGGAATAGAGGAAGAGATGGGACCTATGTGGTAAAAGCCAGAGGTATTAAGCTATCGCTGACACAAGCTTCTGCAACCACTCTGGGGCTGTGTCCCCACAGGTTTCCAGTGACACAGCTCTGTCCTATGGCCTGGCAGTGGGGCCTTCAACTCCTTCTCTCCAGCTCTCAGTTCAGATTGCCTTCTATGAGCTTTGAAATAAGGAAATGCATCTGCTCATGACCCTGCCTCTGTTTCATTTCTTTTCTACTTATTTCTGCTCAACTCCTTCCACTGGCATTCTCTAAGGACACTTTTCTGGAAAAGCTCCCAACAGATAGATATGATGAAAAGGACAGAGACATGGCAAGAAGTGAATCCCTGCTCTTTCACAGGAAAAAGTTTTTTTTTATTTTTTTATTTTTTTATTTTTTTATTTTTTTATTTTTTATTTTATTTTATTTTTTATTTTTATTTTTTTTTAATTTTATCTCTGGCAGAATCCAAATGCATTAATCATGACTGCAATTAAATTCAATTAACCTATGAGATTGTGTCTGTGGCAGTCTTCCACTCCTCTCTGTATTCACCTTTGGTTTTGCAAGCAAATGCACATAAAATCAATTTAGAGACAGACAAGAAGAAAGCCCCAATCCTTTGCTTGCCTCCTGAAATAAGCATCAAATCAACCCTATGTTTGTGTATATATAAGTGTATTTAACATATATATATACATGGAATGGAAGCCATCAGTCTTGTTTAGGTGATGGCTTTGTTGGTAATAGTGTTATGTTCATCTTCATAACCATGGCTACTGTTCAATTCCACTTTCCTCCTCCCTCCCTTTCTCTGATGATACTTTTCGGAGCTACATTTTAGGCTTCCTAAGGTTCACTGAGTTCACTATATTTCTTTAAAACAACAACAACAAATGAGAAAAAAAAAATTACCAAAAACCAAGCCAAGTCTTGCAACTATTTTTCAAATAAGCACACAGTTAAATAAAATCTTTTGTATAATCAGAGAAGCGGTTGGGACAGTCTGTGTTTTTATTCTGTGTTTCAGATACTTCACTGACACAGGTCCTAAAATGTTCACTCTTACATATGCTGTACCCCTGTTGCAGGGAGAATATTGACAAAAAGCTTTTCCTCTCTCCACTGAAATCATCCAGACAAGGCTTTTGCACCATTGGTATATTCCTGATGTTTCACTTACAGACTGCATATATGCACTACATTACACGTTTCAGGAGTGATCCTGTAATTACGCATTGGCTGTTGACTGGCAAAGCAAATCGTGATTGCCCAAAGTAAATCTAATATATTACTTGGAGAGCAAGAAATGCATGACAGCCTGGCTGAGCATCCTTTAAAAGTAGGCATGGGACTTTTAAGCTACAGCATGTATGCATATAATACATACATACATATATAAGTATACACAACATATACATATATATATGTATTTCATACATGCACAATAATTTCCAAGACAGCTACAAATTTCCACATGCATTAAACTATCTAAAAACATAGAAATAGGCAAGACTAATAAGTGGAATTTTCTTAAATTATATTTGAACAATAAACAGCAAGAGTAATACTGCAAAGTACTGCTCTATTCTCATTTATATCTACAATAAAATTCTATGAACAGTTGTCTCCCAAAACATATCCCAATAAAATAAAATAAAAAAAAAAAGGTAACACCCAGTGTCCTATATTTGTATATTCATTGTCAGTTCAGTAAGAAAAAAAAAAAGGTAAACAAAGAAAAGAGAAAAAAGACATCCCCACTCAGAATTGCATATTTACATTCTTCAAACTGTAGCGGTGAAAAATAATTCTATTAAGTGCAGAACATTCCTAGTGTTGCAGTAGTGACATTTTTAATAAGTTCATTATGAAAACATTTCTTTTTGTCTTAACAGTGATGCATTCCATGACTACGTGAAAATTTCATTATCCCCTTCACTTGCAGCCAGTGGTTGAGTCTGGATTGAAAAGCTCCTTGTATAATGGAGGAAATAGTGTGTTCACTATATCTGGGTGAGACTGTTTAAATACCTGTAGTTTCTCTCCGTGCAAGTTGCAAAGTGCAGTAATGGTTGGTATCTTGGCTATTAACTGTGAGATATAAAAGAAGAGGAAGGAAAGAAATTTAGTAAAAGAATTAATTAAGATAGCATTTTGTTGGAAAACTGTAATACCCCAAACTCCATCAAATCTATCCATGCTGACACTGGATAAGTCCACTGTTCTTATTGTTATGGTCTAAAAACCATTCTACTGGAAATTTTAGCCAAGTACCAAAACCGCATTTAACAAGGAACTGCCTCCAGGGTTTCTCACTGAAATAGTCTGATTCTTGCTAAGGTACCCCATAAAAGGATTCATGGATTGAACAAAATATGATTTAAGAGGAAAGAAGAGTGAGGAGAAGAGTACACCAATGCTTACTACTATACAGTGGGAGCAAATAATACGATGCTTTTAACTTACATTAATGTAGTAGTGGAGAAGAGGCTAAAAAAACAGATGCATGTCTGACGAAGGCTTAGGTTAGCTCTTTTTTAACAATTTACCTTTGTCAAAGTCTCATCATCGAGGTGGTTCTTCTGGATCACATGTTGAAGTGCAAAGTAAATCTTTTCCTGAAGCTTCTGGACCTTCCTTGGCTCTATTAACCAGGCTCGATCTAAGAAAAAAGAAGACAAGAGCTAAGGACAGGTGTGGGGTATGCTCATGGATGAACCTGGTACGCTAGCAAGTGTTACAGCAAATGTAGTTCCTGTGGGGAAGAGAATCATAATGAAAAGATGGTTTCAGAAGCAAAATATTTTAATCCATTAAAGGATCACGTGAGAGTTGAATTAAGACACACTGAGCATACAACAACAAAATATTTGCCCTGTATTTCTGTTTAAATCAGTACATTAGAGAAAGATGGGAGTAGAAATGAAACAAGGTCCAAGCATTTCATTATATTTTGCTGGTACATTCACTGCTCTAACTTCATGTTGCCTAGGTAAGAAACATATATCATTTCAGTGTCTTAATACATAAATAATGAGCATATTGATCAAAACAGTCATCTCTTTGAAAACAATAGAGTATAATTATTGAAAAATTAAAACAAAATGTATTTTGTCATTATTTACTAGGCTAACATTTTGAGACCGTACATTATATTCTGTATTAAAAAAAAATGGCTTCCTTCAAAAGAATTTCTTTAATAATTCAAAAGAATTATTAGCAGTTGCAATGTCTTGAAGTGCAAATTTCTTGTTTTTTAAAAAATGTTCTCTTTTTAATCAGTGCAAAAGAGAAGCTAATCTGGGAGAATAAACAATTATAGATACAGTTGTTTGGACTTACACTGAGCTCAGACCCCAAGTGTAGGAGGTCTTTCATAAGATATTATGTCAAGTCACAGCTTCTGAAAACATACATGAAGCATAGAAGCAGACCCCAAGACAATCTCCAAAACATAACAGTGTTTATAGCACTGCCAAACTGTCCATGTTCCCATTCTGCAAACTTACTTGCCTGTTTCTCACAGTCAGAGTGATTCTTGGACGTAGATTTTAGCTTTGCAAAAGGAAATATGAAATTATGTTTTGCCACAGGGCTTGAATCTTAATGTACACATTGAAAGCTGTGGGAAAATCCCTTTCATTTCCAGTGCTCTTTTCCCTACCTCCTCGAGTTACTAAAATTATCCATAGAAATAATTTAAGCTGAGAGACTGAAGAGTATTTCAGTGCTGAAGAATCAGGATTCTGCCATTTGTCTGCAGAGATGTCTCTATGGAAAATGTCCATCAACAACTTCTCTGAAAAGAGATAAACCCAAGTCTCCAGAGACTTAGCAGGTAATCAGACAAAGGAAACAATGTTTTTGCATAGCTTAAAGAATCAATGGATCCTATACTGACAGTAGCCACAGAAACAGAATTAGCTGAGAGCGCACACAGTATTGGCATAAATAAGCTCACAATAATATTTAGGCTTCACAGGCTAAGTGTCAAATTTTATGTTCTTGAAAAACATGCGTTTCACTAGTATTAAATCAATACCTAATAAGTGGCAGGCTGAAGCTAGAAAGATTTATCACAGAGAGCAGTCCTTAAAGATTTATCTTTCTGCCACAAAGATGAGCTTAAAAATAGACTGAGGCTGTGGGAACACAGGTTTCATCACTTGCTGTCATGGAGTATGCTGTATATAATGCAAGAGTTCTTGAAATCACAGTGTGGGCTAGGTGAAACTTTTACTATGAATATTAAGTCTGTCTCCCAAAATGTAGTTCCTACCACTTGATCACCATCTGCAAATTTGTTTGGACATTCCACATACCTCTGATTATATTCACAAAAGTGTAGGAAAAAGTCAATAGATCAGTGGCTACCCATACAGGATTGGAAAACTGGTTCAGATCTACTATTTTCCTTTAGGTTTTGACTCTTCTATCTTGGCAGAGTGCACTAGCCACTAGGCAAGAAAAGAGTGTAGAAGAGGGTAAAAGACCTAAGGAAAGGTGTTCAGCAAGATTTTCAGAAAAGATACTAGCAGGGTTAATGTCTTACTACCCATTTCCAACATGTATGCAAGTGAAGAGCCATTCTACATCATTAAGCTTAGAATCAGAAATCAAGTGAAAGAATCACCTCTGATAACCTTAAAGTACAAAATCTGGATCTGTGCAATTAGTCAGATAGAAAATGGGCCTCAAGCTTGGTTTCAGAACCTAAACTGTTGTGTTAATAGATGTTCAGGTCAGCCCACTCCTGCAGATATTGCTCTGTTCCCTGTAAATGCTGACATTAAGAGCACAATAATCACCTTTCAGAGCAGTGGCTTCTGTAGAAGAAAAGCATGAATACGAATGCTTCCCAAAGAGAGTGGCTATGTCCCTAAATTAATGAGTTGAAGAACAGATGCAGCTTATTCTCAGAACCAGTGCTTCTTTTTTTCAGTTTTATATATGTTCACAAGATGAAACACTTTACTGTGAAGAAACTAGAACATCTAGTGCAGAGGGAAACTGATTATTTCTTCATATTAGTTCTTTATTATTTTTGAAAGGAAATAAGTGACAGCTTTTAATGTCATTACAATTTGCACTGCCTTCCCTTGCCATTCACAGACAGACCAGCTGAAATGGGGTTTATTTGCGTGACACAAATTGGCAGTTTTTTAAAGGAAGATAGGTTGCCTTCTTTCAAGGTTATGATTCTTCAGCCTATCCTGTCTTATTGCTTCTCACATGTCCAACAATACTTGTGCTTGCAGACTACAGGAAGAAGTAGTCAGCATACATTAAGCACTTTCACATTTGGTTTTTGGCTAAAGGAATAAGAGATATTCAGTGTCCTCTTGCTAGCAAGCAGAGGAAAAACAACTTGGACATGAAAGAAAGACATTGGACATTGAAGTATTTCTTCTAGTATCACCAGCTTTAACTTTCAACCTAAATAATGGTGAAAAAACTTGGAATCACTTCTATGTATCTTAGCAGAGTTTGCTATTCAAGACACACTCATCTTTGAAGTGCTGCATCACAGCTGATGTATATCATGACTGAAATGTATTACTAGAGTTAGTGGTGAAGCTTATACAACACATGCTTGCAATACAGCTGGCTTAAAGCCACTGCTGATTTTCTAGCTTTTTCAAGCACTTAGTACAGCTGCAGATGTGCAAGAGATTTTGCTGCTTTGCTGAAAGACACATGAAGAACTGCAAAGCTCAGAACTTTAGTTTCCATCAATTGTCTACTTGTAGCTAAGTGTCATGGTTTTGTGTTTTTTGGCTTTCGGTATTCCACATCATAACATCACATGGGGCACTGGGAGTTTAACTGTTAATGCTCAAGTTAGAGTACTTGTCCAGAAGAGAAGAAGAGCTACATTTCCCATGGGACTCTGCGGACACAGAGAGGAGATAGAACTCCTGGCAAGGTCACCTGATGCTCTTTTTCGTCCGCTCTTTTTCTTGGCTCTCCCCCCGTCTCCCTGCTGCTCAACCAGACTGCACATCTCACCTCAGTGTTATGATGAGGCCTATCCACCTTTTGGACATTTTTTCATTATATTTGATTTATTATCTTCAATTCTAATTATATTGTATTATGGTGTGTTATCTTGCATTCCAATACTATATTTAGTAAATTAGTTTATTTCTCTTCAGATCATTGCCACTGTTTTTAATTATTCTGGAGTCCCCTGTTCCCTCTTTCTGGAGGCACAGATTTTGTGAAATCCCTCTGCCCCACCAGTCACGGAACTGGGCCGAACCAGCCCGCAAACCATTGACACTAAGTGCACTTCATTAATGACTTGATCAAAAATCCATTAAAGCAATCCATTAAAATCAATAGGAAACTTTTCATTATTTAAATAGGCTCTGTCCAGGTCTAAGGGATAGGACATTCAGAGATGGAATATATTACTGTGACCAGATTTTGTTAAGTTGGGCTATAATTTGTTTTTGTTGCCTAGACTACCTGGGTAACAAAAATATTGCTTCTTTTTAATTTGGCTAGAAATCACATATCTGAATATTTTTCTTTCTCCCTACAGATGAGATGTCTTAATCTGAAATAAAGTGCATGTAAGTCACTGAAATAATTTAACTGCTTCTGTTTCTCTTCAGTAAACAAATAGATGTTAAAAAAAGAAAAACATAAATCTTGCTTGTAAGGATTCTATCATTCTTCTCTGTTGCTTGGTTCTTAGCATGTTGCTCAAGAACTTCACAGTCTAAATTGCCCCAGAATTCCCAAGTTGTCTTTAGTTTTGCACAGAGTCAAATGGGTCACTAATGCCAAACAGATGTACAGATGCTGTACATCTCCACCATGGTTTGGTCTTTTCTGTGTAGAAAAGGGCTGGTTGAGAGGGGCCTGTCAGGGCACTGTGAGTCTCCTGTCTCAGGAGAAATCAGGGATCCTGGGAGGTGTTTCACAGGCAGTTTTCACTTGTGTGCACAAATGGGTTGTGGCTGATGAACATATGTGGCAATGGAAACACTCTGGAGGATCCCTCAGGAGAACCCAATCTCGTGCTATATGTAGGCATTGTCTTGACCATTTCACCTCCAAACAAGTGACCACAAGAACACTTCAGAGGGAAATTAGTAGTGGAGTTTTTTCTGGAGGTGTCATTAATGATGAGAACAAACATGTGGACACCATCTGTGCTAATCTAATTCTGCCTAATGTAATCTCCTCCACAGATGTATGAGAGGGCAAAGTGACCTAGAGGAAGTCTTTAGTGGAACAGACTGGAAAAATAATTAATGGTGGGATTTTTCGTAAAGACCTTTCAAAAGGTTACTCTTAGTGGGAGCTGGAGGCCTACCTCCCCTGAGTCAAGATTAAAATCTCATACTAAACTCTAAGGTTGCTTACGTGGATCTGTGGTATGTGAATACTTGAAGAAGAGCATTTTGCCCCTGAAATTACTACCTCTTAAATGGAGTTAAATTCAAACAGAACTTCATGGAGATTTTTACTGCTCGTGTTTTTATTGACACAGAAGTATCCATTCATAGCTGAAGACTCCCTAACCCTCTCGGGGCTGTGAGGTTTGAGCTCACTGAGGATCCAAGTAGGAACATGCATCACCTTGAGCAACATATTTTCTCTGTGTTTTGAAGCAATGCCAGCAGGCACTGCTTGTCTGCATGAACCTGCTCCATGTCTATTACCCTCACTCTCAGCACTTATTTCTCTCTCATTTTCCAATCTGTCTTTCTCTTGCATCATGAAATAGTGTACAGACACTAAGGAGATGATCCTTGACTGAAATATAACATGCCTGTAGGTTAAGTTCAGGTATACAATTCAGGTAGACAATATTATTATTGTTTTTTAATCTATAACTGGCATGTTACATATTTTGCCTATCTGTAAACTTCTGTGATGGGATCATCACACTTTGGATTTATTTCTAATATGTGTAACTGCTGAAATTCTAATAAAAGAGCTGGAAACCCTTTTCTGAGTAATGCAGGCATTCTTCCATTTCTTATCACACTTCTTAACACATATGTGCATTGCTTATTCCAGTGTAAAGCATTATTTAAGAAGGTAGATTGGAACAAGTACCTGGTGATATCAGAACAGCAGATGAAAACAAGGCAATCTCCTCCTCAGTCAGCTGTAAGGAACATAAATTCTTAGCAAAGTCAAATGCTTCATTCACCAGATCATCAGAACCTAAGGACCACAGAGAACAAAGTCAAAATTAGAAATTTATTAGCTCTCTGACCTGGCTTGAAGAGTGGAAAAGTGGACAGTTTCGTACAAAAAAAAAAAAAAAAAAAAAAAAAAAGAACAAATGAGTAAATGTATGTGTTCTTAAAATTAAAACTCCACTTGCTTTAGAGACCAGCTATTTCATGTATCACTAGATCACGCAATGAAACACAAAAATTATCAAGAATTACGGGCATGACTTGTACAAAAAGCACACAGAGATTTAGAAAGGGGTTCTCTTTTCCCAATGTGAAAATAAATGTTATTTATAAATAAGTATTATAGCTAAAAAGGAAGATTAACCAGTCCTAATTAACTTTCACATATGAAATTTATTAATTAACAGTACACATATTCTAGAAAATGTTTGAAAAGGCCCAAAATACATCGAATAATACACAAGAACACTTTTTATTCATGCAAGGTAGTGTAATGTTTTTTCTTTCTTATTCAAGAAGAAAATATATCTGTATACATTAATGGTAAATTTTTTGCAGTAAATTACTATCCTTAAATTTGATTCTGCGTGCATCATGCTATATTTGCTAATAATGTACTGCATCCATGGATTGCCAAAAGACACCCATTTAGCCATTGACATTTCAGATAGCACTTCATATCATGTTCAGAAATGAAGCTATTGTTTCAACACACAAATCCAAATGAGTTTAAAAGTTTTAGGCTAAGCAGTGTATTTACTAAGTTCCTTCATATATTTTGTCATAGTCCATCATTTTAGTCCCCTCTTTGCTGGAATGAAATGGCTTTTTGCAGGACTCAATTAGTGGGACTAATTTGATATGTCAAGTATAACTGATCTGTGGTGATAAACCACTTAGCTTCTACCTTAAACTGTGTTTTAATCAAAGCTTTAGATGGCGGCATAAAAAAACTGATAAAATCCTCATAGTGCTCTTTTTTTTTTTTAAGAGAAAAACACCTATTATTACTGGCAGCCACTGGAGCCACTTTTCCTTTTCCAGTTTAGAGATTTGGAAGTTTTGGTTTCAATATTTACTGAGGGTTTTAAGTGAACATCAGTGCATTTAAACAGAAGGATACATTTTAACAGAAGGATAATTGTACATTATTTGGACCAACATTTATAGAAAGGATTGAAAAGAAAAAGACCAACATACCCAAGGCTTTGAACATCTGCATCCCTCCATACTTTCCTTCAAACAGAACAGTATTGTTGAGTGGGTTGAAGGCACGGCACATTCTCACCAAAACCACTTCCAAGCAGCCTACAGGAGAGAAAAAAGAGCAAAAGTGCCACACATTATTACAGGCCCAGGCTTTCTTGAGCTATCAAGATAATCTGTCACTGAATATGGGAAACAATACATCTCTGATTTAAGTAGAGAAAATGGTTATTTTCTTGTCCAGACAGACTAACTTTTCCTTAGGCTTATTTTCTTCAGTGCAGCAAATTGATACTGTGGACTTAATCTGAATTTAGACCTGGGCAGATTATGTTATTTTAAAATACTTTATTCTGCAAACTTTTGTTTCCCTTATTTTTCTTTAAGGTTGAGGAAGATCCAAAGGAACAGATCTTATTTTATTTTACTTTTTTTAATTTAATTTTTTATTTTTTTCTTTATTTTTTCCTACAGAATTTACAGAATTTCCTGTTTGGGGAAAATGAAGAAAAAATAATTTTAAGCAGTCTCTAACTAAATCTGAATTTTCTATAAGAGAAATTTTGCCTTTGAGAATTCTTTTGCAGATACATTTCTGAATGAAAAGTCCAGATTTTCTAACTTCTGCTGACCATGAACTGCAAAACAGAAAATAGAACAAGAAGTATTTATACATGCTGAAGCTAACCAGAGTTGTCCAGTAGCGCAGTCAAGTACGACTATATCTTTTGTTTAAGGAGCAACTGTGTTGCTACTTTTGCTAGTCAAAGGAAGTTATATGGGATGCATCAGCATTTGCAGAAGTCTTACAGATAGTAAAATAAAATAAAATGTTATCCTGTGACTGTCTGCCTACATACTCCTGAGTTGTCTGCATCCCTTGCCCTTTGTGGCTCTGCTGCCTCAATTCAGTCCCGCTCTAAGCCACAGACCACTGTGTACAAGAGCAAGGAACGCAACAGCTTTCAAATGAAATGAACAGTTCCCTCTTGAAACAGGAAGAACTTCTTATGTTTTAATGAGTCACCTCACACTGCATCACACCTTTTATACATAGAGAGAGCAAGAAACTGATATGACAGGGTGAATGCAGTCAATTACCAGCAGTGGCTCACTTGGTCATGCCATTTAGCCCTACTGAGTTTAGCAGAATTATTGCATAATCACAATAAATGTTGTCATGCTTCCTATAGAGGACAGAAATTACCGCGTCCCATGTCAGGGAAGGAAACCCTTTTCCACCTTGCCCTTAAACATGCACATGCACACCTAGGCACGCACAGAGAGCATGGCTGCAGCACGCTGCTGTAATCCGCTCTCATTTAGTCCAAAACCAACTGGCGCCAGCATGGATTTTCCCTCCTGTGCACTGGCTGGAGGGTATCTCTGTAGTCTCGTTAAAAAGATTAGAGATGACCACAGAAGCATTCACTAATGACAAATGGGGATTTAGAGGGTGGCAGATGACTGATTTGACCTGCTCAATTCACAGAGTCTTTCCACTACATGTCAGGTTGGGGACTACAGTTGCTGCAATGACTCTCTGTGTGTATGTTTAATAACCACAAGTGACTGTGGAGAGAAGGGGATCAGAAAACAGTAACATGATTAATGGGGAAAACTACGGAAGGGTTAATGCAGCTAACGAAACAGACTGAAAAGTAAGGTTCTGTCAAAACAAAAATGACCCAAAGAATGGGACATCTGAGCACGTTTCTACAGCACTGGGAGCTAAACCAGTCTCAAGCGCTTGGTGTTTACCCACCTGACTTAAGGAGGAGAATTTGGTCATTCTGGCAGAGCTCCATAAAGCCTGTTATCCGCTTTGCGAACTCCACCACATACTGGATAGCATGAGTGATCTGAATGGCACACTGCTGCCAAAGGGCTTCTCTGGTCTTCGGGAAAACAAGAGGAAAGAGCAAAACAATAAGCGAGTGAGTTCATCCATTTGCTAAGCACTTTGGGTAGCCTTGCAGGAAAGCACAATCCTCTGACTAACTCACTCCCTTACCCCCCACCATGTCTTAACCAATGGCATCTCTGTTTTTCAAGATGCCTGACAACTTTCATGAGAAGGCTGTTTTCACAGGTTGATTGCCTCAGTGGTCCAAACTGTGGCATTACCTCTTCATAGGGGGAGAATGCATCAACCAGTGTTAAAATGTGATTTCAGTGCTGACTTTTGCGCATGAGAGAGAGACAGCAGAACTAACAATGTAAACAACTCAGTGCACTTCTAGGGAGAAAGTGGCACAGCGTTACTGAGTCATCAAACAGAATATTTTAGTTTCTGAATGTGACCTGAGAATTACAAAGGTAGAACAAAAATTCATTATACTGAGACCTCACTTTAAGGAGTACTTTAAATTTATCATTATTTACTGTTTATGGGTGATATTTGGCTTGCTCACAGTGAAAAAATCTGTTACATAGGAAAGGAATGTGCTTCTAACAGATTTCAGAATGATAAAATAACAAAGGGTTTTTTTATTATAATTTTTTGAAAAGACTTACAACAGAAAAGATCCAATTCTCATCACACTAAAATCAACAGAATTTCGGTATAAGGTTTATAGCTGTGGTAACAAACAACGTGTAGAAACTGGATTCTATGATCATATTTTGACATTAACAAATATCCCAACATGCTGAAAAGCTATTTCTTTTTGCTACGAAATATCCCTCCTTTGCTTTGACTGACCAGGGTCCTCTAGGATACTTAAAAGAACACTTTAACCAGTTTGTCCTTGTCAAATAATTCATGGTTAAACATTTCTAACCATAGGGAGCAGAACAAGTATATTACAGGATTGTACCTTGCTCTGGTAAACCTTAATTTCTTCATATGTGTGGGTTTGCCAAGCTAGCTGGTGTAGCTCCTCCATTGTATATTGGCATGTCTCCAAGTGAGATTTAATGATATTCTGTGCAATTCGATCTGAGGAGAAAGATGAGCTCGTGTGAGACATTTTGGTGAACAGTAATTTGCAATAGCAAAATGCTGAAGACATTAAAATTGGAAAAGGAAGATTTTCTTTTAACCTTCTAGTTTTCCCTCCCTCTCCTTCTCTCCCTCTTTTATCTCTCTCTCACAAATATTTCTTAAATTGTCTGTTGTAAGACGTTTCAGTATCAAATACAAAGCCAAGGGATGCTTGACAAACAATAGATCTGTACATGAAAATAACAATGAATCTCAAGAAACTATTTTAATTCTTTCATTCTGGAAGTGATTTAAAAATAAATAATAATTATTTTTAATGTGTTTAAATAATTATCTTTCGGTCATCCTGATTACTTGAACACGTTCGTCTATTCCAAGACTGCGCAGATGCCCACACCTGGCTGCTCAGTCCTGACACGGGCATTTGCATTACCTCGGTGTGACTTAAATCAAAGAAGCAGGAAACTGATCAAGTTTTTCTCCAGTTAGGTTTTAGCTGATCAATTTTTCAATCTTTTCAGTGATATCTAGCATAGAGACCAGTGCTGGCAAGGTGTGAAAGCTGCAGCTAGGTAGCCTAGGTTTTAGAGGACAGAGGAACAGCTCTCATACTCTTTGACAGCACATGATTAAGATACATTAAAGTTATTCTGAAAACACAGGTTTGCATACAATTGCAGAACAAGAAGTGTGGAATGCAAGGGGAAAAGCAAGCATTGTGTGCTGGATGGAGATCCCCTTGAGACTAACAGTAAACCTCTCAGGGAAGTACTGAAAAAAGACATTTTCTCCATAAGTCACTTGAGCGGATTAAAGATTTTCACAAAAAAATTTCTAACATCAATTCATTAGCACTGGAAGTAAGTTGAAATGTCTTAATTTGAAACATGATGATTTCTTAACTTGGAGCTTTGAGACCTATACGTCTAAGTGGACAGCAGAACTGAACTGAAACACTTAGGGCAGATCCATTCATATCAGAAGACATATTCTTCAAAAAAGGAGAGGGCTCTGGTAATGCATTAGCTGAGCCTGAGTGCAGGAAATATAAAGAACTAGGAATGTCATCAACCACATCCTCAACAGTTTTCTTACAATGGGTCGATCTGGTTCTTTGGAGTTCCAAAATATGAATCTTGCTTTGGTTGAATGTTATCTGAATTTGAAAGCACCATGAAAGTTGAAAACTGAATGTAAACATACAAGTTGCCTGCAATCACTGTTGCAGGAGTATGATTTAAAGGAAAAATGTTTGTACTAATGTCACAGTTAATAAACTGAGACTGGGTGGACGGATTCTGAAGAAAGCGCAAAAGAATTCCAGGTATTTGTAGAAATGAGAATACCTTCTCTATTCAGTCTTTACAGGTACTTCTCACAGGTTAACAGTTTTCTTAGGTTTCCTGTGAAAGAACTGACTCAGGAGTAAAGACAACTAAAAGTGTGTATTAGTGATTACACAAATCTACCCAACATTGTACCGTGGAAGAATGGATGCCAGTCTTACCTCATGATGTTAAGATACTGTATTTTGTAGTTAAAACATTAAAGATAAAGGTGCGGGTTGGAATAAAGACATGATAAATTTTAAACTACTCTTTTTTTAAGGATGAATAAAGGTTAATTAAATAAATACTAGTTAATAAGCCCTGTTTTGTAAACATATTTCAGAAAAAAAAAACTTCTACCCACATTTTGATATATTTAAAACAGTTTTAATAAAATTAATTTTCTGAAAACATTATAAACTATAGTAATTCTGACTGTAAAAAGCACAAGTTTTTAACATTGTGTTCCTGGATTTAACCAGAAGAACTTGATTATAACTGGAGGAACATTTAAACCTTTTATCTAAAACATCACTGTAAGACACAAGGTCTTTGAATTACTATTGCATTTCCCTTTCTGAGTGGTGAAGTATTTTGCTCTGTCCAGCCACTGGCTGGTCTCTGTTGTGATTCCTAGCCTAGCTCCTCAAGCCACACAATTTGTTACACAAAGATGGAACTATTCATGTTTTTGACATAAATAGAATAATATATAAATCAAATACTTTAATATTATTGCATAGCCAGATCAGATGAGGCTGGTCACATTGTTTGCCTGATGCAAACAATCTGAAGATAAGACTTTTTTCATTTCACTGACCTGACCTCAAATATATTTGATCAGCAGTTCTATTTTACATTACTGTATATATTCTGTCCTGTTATTTTTCCTACCATTTACTTCTTTAACAAATAAAACACGTGAGTGAGAATTCATGAATCTTCAAGGTTTTGTAGGGATGGCATTTTAGCTCTATACACCTTTTCTTTATGTGCTTATGCTTATGTTGAGCTGATGATAAAAATCATTTCGACATGAAAAGACCTTGGGCAATTCCAGAAAGCAACATCTCCAAATTCTGACATCCAAAGAGGAACCAGATGCTAGAAAAACTTGCAAGTCTTGAGCCATAGGCTCAAGGCTGAGTATGTGATGGAAAGGGTACACTGCGTCTCAGGGGCGGAGGATACTGGTTATTTTGTGTAAGGAGGCTGCCTTGTTACACTCTGAGCTTAGCCCCTCAGTGGTGCCTGATGCACATATATCATATATGGGATGTGAAGTGGTGACATGGTGGAAAAAGTAAAAGGAAAAGCTTATCTTGGCTTTGCAGAGGGTCCAGTGAGCAAAGATCCAATGCAGACAGAACAAAGAATGTAACTCTCAAAGGGAGTTGCAACTCTCAAGGAGCATAGTCTACCATTATGCCATTTGTAGATTTTAGCTCTTTTCACTCTCATAGTTGGAAACTACACACATCACTGCAAATTCCATGCAGAGAGAAGCTCCTAAACAATTGGGAATAATGTAAAGACATCCAATCTGAATCTATTTTGATGGAATGCAATTGATACTGTTCTGAATACAAAATATAACACATTTCTGGAAGACCTAGTAGCTCTGAAGCATTGCTGGCAGCTGTGTTCAATCAAAGAATGGGACAATGAGGGAGGAAAGTAACTTAGTTCAGTGGGAGTAGCTGTGTCTCTCCTGTTCGATGAGCTAGAAGATTCCACTACAGTCATTCTGCACATCAGGTCTTGACTTAAAATCATTTTCATTTTCATTTTCATTTCATTTCACCAACTTAAGCCAGAGATTTCAAGGGTCTCTTGACACCAGGAAGCTGCAGGGATGTATCTCTAGCTAGAAATCCTATTTGAATGGGCTGCAAAGGACTAGAAAGACAGTATCAGTCTTGTGACCTCATGTATTTCCCACTGAAATGTTGTCAATACCCATCTTATGTAAGTTACATTGGGTTTGCAGCTTTCATTGTATGAAAAAAACAAAATAAAGAAATGTTATTAAGAGTGAGAATAAAACTTTGTAAAGTTTCCTTTACATGGAGCATCTGCTGCAAGTTTTTGGTAAAAATTAATTAAACAAAAAGGAATTAATGAAATTGTGTGAAAACATACCATCAGAACTAACAATCACAACTGTAAACTACATGATTTTAAAACTTATCTGCCATAGTATGTAAACATTCGGTGTTTCCTTCTCTGCTTTTGTCTGTTATTTGTTATTATATCAGAGTTATGTATGCAATGGAATCAGCTATAATATTGCATAACATCATGGGGAGTCTGAAAGGCACAGAATATCCTGGCAGACTGACTCTAGTTGGGAAACATGACCAGTGGCTGAACTCCAGTATGCACTGTGATGCAGTAATATTTCCATTAAATAGTTTAGTTCTAAGTTTGAAGATTCTATTTATTTATTTATTTATATGTAATTTTGTTTATTGTTACCCTGATATTTTTGCTGGAAAACAGACTATTTTTAAATAAATGCTCTAATTAATTAAAAAAACAAACAAACAAACAAAATAACAAACCAAAAAAACAAAAAATATCTCTAGCAGGAAGTATTTGCTTCCAGAGAGGCATATTAGAAATGAAAAAGGCACACTAGAAACAACATCAATCAAGCAAATGGTTAATGGCTTTAGACAATATGAGGTCTTGAAAAATCAGAAATACTCAGAGAAGATACATGTTGGAGGTGATCAGTCATTTTTTCATTTCTGGCCTGTACATACCTTACTAGTTTTCTGCACAGACTCACTATCCTAGCTGTATTGTCCCATTCATTCTTAGGGGTGAAAAAGAAACCCAGATGTTGGTTTATAGTGCCTCTGAATTTCCTTAGAAAAGTAAAAAAACCAAAACAGTCTGTGTGATAAGCATCTGTTCCGAACACACAAAAATGATAAATATTAGAAGCGGTACCTTACAAGATCCATGATCTTTAAAGAAAGCTGATTTTATGGTTTCATCCCTTGGATTATAGGAAAGTCTGCCAGTAGGACTGGTTTCCCAGCACAGATAAGAACAGGAGATTTAATGAGTCCTGCTTTCACAGAAATCTCCACCACAACAGAAGAGACCAGAATTTAATTACAGCACACAGTTCAAATCCCCAGAGAGAGATGTCCCCACCAGAACTCAACTAAGCCCTGAACAAAAGCGACGCAGAAGAAGGAAAATGTGCTTGAGAAAAATTGAAAAAACAGGTTATTTCTCAAATAAATAAGTGGACAGCCAGTGAGTCTGGGGCAGCTTATGCTGCGACAGAGTGAGCTGCAGGGCATGGGAAGGCTGTGGATGTTATCTCCTGCTGATGGAGCCCAAAAAGATGTAGAATTATTGGGCAGACAGTGGTATTCACTGGGAGATAGACTCCTACTATGAAGAAGACATCAGCCCTTTTATTCCTCGCATTTTTCTCATGTGACAAGATCTTGACAACAACAGCCTGTGTTTTTTAACAGATCTGCTGCATGTCATACCTCCATTACACGCCTCTGCTGCCAAAGCTTGCTCCTGAAAGCCTTGCCAAAGATTATAGTAAGAAAGTGGAAGGAGGCAACAGAAAGTGAGACAAATCAGAAAAAAAAAAAAAAAAAAAAAAAGGAAAACAAATCTGAAATTAAAAAG